TGCAGAGGCATCCCGTGCGGAGGAAGGGAATGAGGTGAGAGCGCTGGAGAATGGACAGCCCTCAAAGGGATCCCATATGTCCAGAGAGAAGGGGTTGAAAACGTTGCTCCGGCGACCACCGAAAATGCTTGGAATCAGAGCCATTAGCAATGAACTTTGCTGAAAGCTTTTGCTTTGAATCAGAGTGAGTTGTGATTTTCTTAGTCACGATGACATAAAAGGGGTGCAAAAGTATATTTATAGGATGCAAGAGAAGATTCTGGTACTCTGCAACACGATTCTAGAACTTCCGTGAAGATTCCATTTTAAGCAAGACTTCGGACAAGATCAGATTAACGGTGGAGTTCTGTAAACTTCCGGAATATTCCAGTTTCTTCTGGGCATACCAGAACATTGTTGTTTGATCTGGTTAATAAACTTCTTCTCGCAAGGCCCAAAGTCGGACAGTAATAAAGCCCAATTCAATTCTTTTTCTTAAGAGTACTCGGCAAAAACTTATTTGTAGCCCTTTATCTTAAGAAATCTATACGTTTTAACCTCTTAACTTATATTATAATATTTTTAATCCCTTATTTATTCGAATTGAAGAAAGTAACTCATAATTAACATCAAGTTATAACATTCTTTACTGATCATTAACATTTCGTTAAGTTTGTCCCTGTTACCACCACATAAGTTAATTTACATCAACATGACATGTCATCATGGCTTCTCATGGGTGGAGAAATTTAAATAAAAAAGTTGTGATATAAGAATGATTTATTTATATTTTTTTATACAACTTTTATATATTATTAAATAAGTAAATACATTCAATATTATAAATTTTAAATAAATAAAAAAGATTAGTTATTTCAATAACAAATAAAATTATATTAAAAAGTGATACAAAAAATTATCCCTAAATCAATTTTCAATAATAATAAAAAAAAAAACTAAGTGGTTTAGCTGGCTCAAAAACTAAATATAAAAAGAAACAAATGATGAGACAAATCTTCTTTACTTCTTTCACCAAGCAAGAAAATCTAAAGTTAAAAGTTCAAAAAATCTTTGAAAAAGTTAGAAGAGTCACAGCAAGAATGACTAATTTTCGCTATAATCTCTGTTGATAGACTACAAATTCAACAAGTATTGTCTACCATTGATAATTTGATTTGTTCTAGGGTTTGGTCTTCTCAATTGATGAACAAAAACGAAAAAAGCATGAATATTATAAGAATTAATATAGATTAACCTTAATTAAATAGTAATTAAGGATTAATTGATATGATTTTGTACTCAATTTCATAGTTAAGCTTTTGGGCTTCAAATGGGTGTCAATGAAATCGAAATAAAAAAGTAAAATTGTTTTGTTGTATGTTTCAGTGTTTAGTTCTTTCTTCTTCTTTTTTTTTCTTTTTTTTTTTGTAAAATTAAGAATATACATTATTTTTTAGGTTAAAGATCTAAAAGAAATTAGAATTTCCAAAAAAATACAACAGACTTGTTGAGGAAAGTTTACTATTTTTTTATATTATATTATGTACTTTATTTAAACAACTTAGACCCACTTCAAGATAAGCATTTAAGTATTTAACTAGTTCATTACATCTAGTTGGTGATGTCTTGAGATTGGTAAAGAAAGTGAAGTCTCATTGAAGCCGGGAACCTCTTGCAGCTCTGTCTTGGAACATTTTCAGTCGTGATAAAAAAAGCCAGGCGAATCCTCTCTTGATTTGAAGTGCCTGCCAATGCACTTCACCATTTGCATACAGCAATGCTTAAGACGTCCAGTTTCTGATATTTCAGACTCTCTGCAATTGATTCCTACTCGTCTTTATTTAGAATCATTAACATCAAACATGAAAATACATTTGTAATTCATTCTAGCAATTTAGACAGAAAAAAATATATATTTATATATCAAAAACACATTTATACATTCCAAATTTTTATTTCATACCAACCTACAAAATTTCAGTAGCTGCTATTTTCATTACAGACAAATGCGTTTCCACATATCTGCTATTTTCCCAAAGGGACAGGACGAGAGAGATAGAATTTAGCCAGAAACCTCAATAGCCTTGACTTCAGGCTTCTTCTCTTCCTCCTTTGGCACGGTCACCGTGAGCACGCCGTTCTCCATACTAGCCCTGACCTGATCCATCTTTGCATTCTCTGGCAACCTGAACCTCCTCAGGAACTTCCCACTACTCCTCTCTACTCTATGCCACTTATCATTCTTCTCTTCCTGCTCACTGCTCCTCTCTCCACTGATCTGCAGCACCCTACTTTCTTCTATCTCTACCTTCACTTCTTCCTTCTTCAACCCAGGAAGGTCCGCCTTAAACACATGAGCTTCCGGCGTCTCTTTCCAGTCAATCCTGGCGCTTGCGAATGCAGAGATATCCCTTGCGGAGGAAGGGACGGAGGTGAGAGCGCTGGAGACTGGCAAGCCCTCGAATGGATCCCATATGTCCAGAGAGAAGGGATCGAAGACGTTACTCCGGCGACCACCGAAAATGCTTGGAATCAGAGCCATTAGCAATGAACTTTGCTGAAAGCTTTTGCTTTGAATCAGAGTGAGTTGTGATTTTCTTAGTCACGATGACGTGAAGGGGGTGCAAAAGTATAAAATAAATAAATTTACAAACTTATTAAATTAAAAAAGTTAAAGGTAGATTTTTGCCCAAAAAAATCTCCCATTAAGTTAATATATATTTTTTTTTGTTAGGAAAAGAAAAATCTACACAAGCATTTGAATCATGAATTTACATAAAAGTAATCAGACAGTGACTAATTTTTAAATTTGATA